AATTAAAGAGCCTGTGTCCCTTGCTGTATAGACTAAGAAAACGTTTTATTAAAAAATTTCCAGGTTACAAATAGTTGAATCCTAGTATGCTGCCCAAAGTCTGCTGTTAAAGCACTGAAAGTATAGCGAAACATAGACTACTGGTGCTCAATGAAAGTGTAAACTGTAAAAACCAGGCAGTGATCCAGGAGGCGGCATGCACTTCCTGAGATTTAACCATTTGCAACCCAGCAGCTCTTCTTTAACGGAGAAGTTGGAGGTATATGAGAAAAAAAAAACCCTTCTTACTCATCTCTATGCTGCAGCATTGGTGTTGTGCTGCAGCTGTCCCATGTTGGCTTTAAGCCTGAGAAGTGAGTGATCATATTACCGCTGAATGCCAAATTTTCAGTCTGCCTCTCCGCATTGGCCCTCCAGCACACTCACTGGAGTGCCAGGCTTGAGAGGGGGTGGGAGCAGCTGGCTTTGGCTCTCAGCCATGCACTCCAGGATCCTTCCAGAGCATGGAGTGGCTCTGTGATGTCTGTTGCTCACTATCAGCTGACTGTGGGTCACAGGAGGTCAAATGTAAATGCACTACTGTGACCCACAAAAGTAGTATGAGCAAAAAAGCTTTAGCCATACTTCTCTTTAAGTAGGTTCCCTTAAGGGGTGGGTTAAAATCCACGGCAAAAATAGTTTAAATGTCTTTAGAACACATCACTGGGCAGGAGGGATGTATACACAGCAGCTATTAGCAAGCTTTTAAGCACACTAAAGGAATTTTATGGATAAGGAGAACATGAAATGGCATTTCTATTCAAGGAACCAGGTACTTTAGGTTGTATTAGCACAAATATTTATCCTGGAACACAGTAAAGCTCTTTAGCACATTTTGTCTGGGTACTTTTGGACATTTTCACATTACAAGCATTTTGCACAGCCCCTAGGAATGGGACACTTTAACAGCAGCTATTTAAAACATAAAAACTGCAGTTTTTCTATCAACAGTGTATCAGGTTTGGCCAAGTATTAATTTAACCTGCAAGTTTTCTGAAAACACTATATTCAAGAACTCCCTGCACAAAAATCACAATCAAAGACCATGTGCTGGCTATGGAGGGCTGGTATGTTAAAAACAGGAGAAAGGATTTCATTTAGATATACAACTGAAGCCACATTTCATTGCAACTAAGTTTTAAAATGAGCAGACTGCCATATGGATATAGCAAACAGAGCTAAATTCATAAAAGCAAAACTGATTCCAAAGGTATTTTTTTTTAAGTTGCTGTAAACCCTTACATGTACCCAGTGAAGTGACTGGTGATACACAGAGATGAAACAAAATCCTCCTACATAAGTTGTGCCTGTCTACCTGCAGTCTTCTCTTCTCTACATCCGTTCAAAGTGCTGAATTTATAGCTTGTCAAAGTTCCGAAAAAATGGGGTGGAAAGCTGAAATTACGCACTGCCGAGCTCAGTGAGGAGATCTTTGAAAGCTGTTTGAAAGGAAGAGACACACACCACCTCACACTATTCACAGGAACAGAGCTGAGGCTGTCAATCTGCTGGATGTCCCTCCCCTGTCACCATTTTTCTCTTGGTGTCAGGAAAAACTTGTCAGCAGTGATTCATACAGATAGCAGAGGAATGAAGCAGCAGACAGAAATAACACTTAGCACTCTTAATTGAAGCACACACTATATAGGGATATGCATTGTTCATATTTCATGTCTGAAATGGTTTTGCACAGAGCAGCCCCGATCTTCCTCTTCTGGGGACCCCACCGGCGCTCCTGGTTCCACCCCCTTGCCAAGTGCCCCCATAGCAAGCCACTTGCTATGAGGGCACTTAATTGTGTTTGCTCTCAAACCAGCTGTGTTTGTCTATTGACACACAGAGTGCGGATCAGCAGGAGTCAATGCCTTCTGCTGCCTCTTTGTGCAGTGAGGAGAAAGAGTGAAACGCTGTTCTTTTGCACATCGCTGGATTGAGATCGAGTTCAGGTAAGTATTTAATAAGGGCTGAGGCAGGGGAGCTTCACGCGGAAACTGTTTTTACCCTATTGCATAGAATGCAGAAGGTGAAAAACCTTGTACCTTTAGAACCACTTTAACCACTTGCCCTCAAAAGGTTTTAGCCCTTTCATGAGCAGCGCATTTTTTTGCTATTCAGCACTATGCTACTTTAACTAGCAATTGCTTGACCATGCAAAATTGTACCCAAATTAAACTGATATCTTTTTTTCACACAAATAGAGCTTTCCTTTGGTGGCATTTGATCACCACTTGGGTTTTTATTTTTTATTATATAAAAGAAAAAAAGACCGAACATTGTGAAAATCGACAATATTTTCTGTTATAAAAATATGCAATAAAAAAAAAAAAAAAAAAATTTCTTCATAAAATTTGGACCAAAATGTATTCTACATGTCTTTAGTAAAAAAAAAAAACCCAATGAGTGTACATTAATTGTGTGAAAGTTATAGAGTCTACAAAACTGATGTGAATGTACAATATATATATTGTAAAGCGCGCTATATAAGTACCTGAAATAAATAAACTATGGTATTTATACAGTGGTATTCATGCAGTTATGATGCTATAGTGGGACTGTGATTGTGTGGAGGGCAATCTGGCCCCTCACACTATAATGATCAGATATAATACTGTACACGGTCACTGCATTAATGGCACTGGCTGGTAAGGGGTTAACATCAAGGGGTTAACTGTGTGCATAACAAGTGTAATCTGTGTAATAGGTGCTGATTTACTAGGAGATCTGGCTGTTTTTTTTTTCATCCGCTTTTCAGGAAGATCGTGGTCTGTGTATACAGTCCTGTGTATTTGTAAACACAAGACTCTGTGATTGGCCAAAAGTGATCAGCTGGTATACAGCCAAAGTCATTGGCTGTAACTAACTAACCAGCTGGCGCTGTGACCAATCACAGGATAGATCAGCAGGAGGCATGCGCCCCAAACCCATGGAGGTGCCTGCACTTGCTGCCCATTCGCAGTAGATTTACCGTGAGCAAGCCGGCAAGTGGTTAAAGTCTAACTAAAGGGTTACAACACCTGTCCGTTTTTTGGCCATCTGTGTCCCATAGAGAAAATTTCCCTTCACATCATGTACCATAGACAAAACAGGAAAATAGAGGAAATCCCTCCAAAGTTAGAAAATCTTGGTATGTTCCCACCAGAAGATGTCCCCTCTGGTGTTACTGTTCTGCTGTCAACCCAAAATTTTGGGAGTTTTCTTTTAGTTTTGGTGATAACAGTAAACAGGACAAAAAGTGAGGGTGAATCATGGGCTCATGGAAATTGACATTATTTAATGGATCGCTTCGATGTTTATCCTGGTGCTCACTGCTCATCTTCTGCAGCTGGTTGTCCCACTGGAATTGACAGAATTCTTATCTTTGGACTGGAACCAATTCTCTCACTAGTAATACCATTTCCACCATTTATTCCAATGGAAAAGCCTGGGTTGGTTCTGATGCCCAAGCACCAATGTCTTGTGAATGTAGAATAAAACAGCATTTAGAGATATCAATCTCAAAGAACCAGGGTGTCCCCTTTAAAAGTCTGGTCAGGTCTGGTATCCCTCTTGTGCCGACATCCACTGCCCATGGGTAGCACTCCTCCTCTGTGGATGGTAAGAGCTCTCGTAGAACTCAGAAAAGAGGAGGCTAATAGCGTGATACCGTTTAAACAGAGAGAGTTTTATTAACCAAGTAAATGAACAAACCACTGACCAGTAATGGTGATCCAAGATGGCTGCCGGGACCAGTGTGGTGCCGGCAGCGTGGCGTCCTAGTGCTGTAGCCCATCCTGACGCGTTTCGTGCGATGGAACGTACTCATAGGGGGTCTGCATATAGCTAAAGGACGCTTTAATTGTGATTTAATGCCTGCGCATTATACGGCTGCCATTTTCTAATAGTTCTTTGTCCGTCCGCGCGCCTGCGCCATTTTGGCATGGCGGCCAAATGATCCCTGTCGCTATATACCTGTCGCTATATCTGTGCACTTTTTGATGTATGTTTCCATATCTATACTTTGCTATGGTAATCCATTATGGCAATTCATTCTCTATTACAGCAGCCAATATGCTCAAATACGTTTTAGTTGATTATCTATGTGAACCGATTTGATTTTTCCTTGGTGATCATGTTTTATTGTTAATCATTCATTTCTTCTAATACACGGCGCCCGTGCTTGCACCGTGACGCCGGCTATGCCAAAATGGCGCCGGTGTGCGGACAATGAACTATTAGAAAATGGTGGCCGCGTAATGCGCAGGCGCCGTTTTCCCTATACAAATTCCTTCTGATACACGGTGCCCGCGCATGCGCCGTGACGCCGGCTACGCCATTAACTTGTATTAATATAACTATGGCATTAATAAGCATTTTGAACCCGTTGCAGAGGCATTCAAATCTTGTCAGCAACACTTCTTAAACTCCCTGCGATTTTTTTTTTTTCTTATAAGGCTAAAATAGGAAATAATCACTTTTAATACTTTGCAACCACATCTTAACCACGAGCCTACAGGGCACTTGTACCTCCTTCCTGCCCAGGCCAATTTCCAGCTTTCAGCGCTGTTGCACTTTGAATGACAATTGCGTGGTCATGCAACACTGTACCCATATGAAATTTTTAGCATTTTTTTGTGACAGATAGAGCTTTATTTTGGTCATATTTAATCACCTCTTGGTTTTTTATTTTTTCTCAAACAAACCAAAAACCACTGAAAATTTTGGGGAAAAAAAAGGTTTAGTTTTTGTTATAAAATTTTGTAAATAAGTGATTTTTTTCCTTCACTGATGTGCGCTAATGAGGCTGCAGTGATGGGCACTGATAGGCTGCACTGATGGAAACTCATAGGTGGCACTGATGAGGAGGCACTGGTAGGTAGCACTGATGGGCATTGACAGGCATCACTGATAGGCACTGAAAGGCAGCACTCATATATGGCACTGATAGGAGGCACTGACTAGCACTGTCAGGTGGCACTGACTGGCACTGATGCACACTGATAGGCAGCACTGATTGGCATTGATAGGTGGCACTGACTGGCACTGAAAGGCAGCTCAGATGGGCACTGATATGTGGCACTGATGTTGCACTGATGGGCACTGGCAGGTGGCATGGATGAGATCTGACAGCTGGCACTGGCACTGACAGCTGGCACTGATGGACACTGGCAGGTGGCACTGCTGGGGCTACACAGATCATCAGGGCACACTGATCATCAGTGCCCTGATGATCAGTGTACATGTCCCCTCTGATGGATGCCGATTACCGGCTCTCCTCTCTCCAGCTGTCAGTGTGACAGCTGATGGGAAGAGAAATGCCGATAACCGGCATTTCCCTATGTACATGCGATCAGCTGTGATTGGACACAGCTGATCACATGACCGCGCCGACATCTTCGGCTCTTTCCATTGATCGGTGATCCGTTGTGTCCGAGGGACACAGCGCACCGCAGATCGCTGTGCGCTCCCGGAGCCACGCATGCCTGGTTAGAATGACGTCCTCCCAGAACAAGAGAATCTCCTTGCATCCGTCATTGTACTATATGGCGGGCGGGAGGCGGTTAAACATGCTGTAAACACCATAGGTGCATGTGGCCATGTTCAACAGAAGTGAATGGAGGCAGTTGCAAAGTGTCAATGCCTTCCCCAAACTCTGCAGGCAGTGTTAGGGCTTCTTCACAATAGCAGTTGAGGGGATGTAGAATACTGATGTTAAGCCACGCTTTTACACTCCCCCACCCGCTACCCCCTTTAGATGCAGAAACAGCGACAGGGGGAGTATATATGCCGCGGCCGTGATGCTATGCTTCGTGATAGGAATTATACTGCATGCACAGGACAGCTCTGAATTTCTGGCAAGAATATCAACCAGTATTTTTTTTTGCTTTTATAAAACAGATATAACAAAAATGCTTGCGATGCTAAAAGAAGTTCATTATTAGAGTTTACATACACTTTAGGATCTCTATTCATCAGAACATCCCTTTCCTAACCAGCTATTCAGTTTCCAACTATTGACTTTCTACTTATGGATTAAATATTGGGTCCTGAAGTAACACTTTCATCTTGGCAGGCAAGGGCCAAAGTGGCAAAACAGTAAATGTCAAGAGAGATCAACATGTTTTTGTTTTTTTTAACAAACATTAGCCATTTTTCTTTTGAGGGGGGAGAAAGATAGTATAGCGGACTGAAGCAAGAGATGCCTCCAAAAACATATTTTCCAGGGCAAGAATTAGACCTGACTTACAGCAATTTTATACCCAGCCCAGAACAGGTAAGATAAAGAGCTGTTTAGGTTGGGCTGATTGATGTCTCAGCTTGATAAACCAAAGAAAGTCATTAACACGTAGACCAGAATAATCTTTTGGAGTTGGATATAAGAAAGCACTTTTATCAGTATTTGTAAAATGGCTGATTAACTAAATAGGAATTCTCATAAATAAACATGAACTATCTTGGAACTGCAAAAGCCTTGTTCCCCGGACCTCAGGGAGCTTGTACCAAGAGTCTCTATACAATTTTTTTTTTTTTTTACATCAACAGGTAAGTAAACAAGAAAGTAGTCAAAAAAAAACTGGAAAAAGAACCAATAGGACAGATTTTTTTTTTTCCAATTGCTCAATGTGAGCAAGGACAGAAAAAAACATGGCGCTGTTATCGACAGCCTCCAGGGATACTAACTGGTATCTCAGTACTTAGACACAAAAGCACAGAATGTTCTATGTAAGGAAGCAGGAAGTGAAAAAGGTTATTTAAAGAAGAATTCCAGGTATGGATATTTTTAATTAGTCCAGCTTGGACCAATGTAACTATGCATATACCATACATATGGGATCCTCATAGAATCTGGAAATCACTGTAGTAGATACCACTAATCCAGTGATCTCCATTAGCTTCCAGGCCCCAAAGCCAAGCAGCTGCCCTTCTGCATTCTGAACACAGATGGCCGGCCACTCGGCATGGGCATCATTTAAAGATCGCTTTCCATTTACTCAAATGCAAAATGTTCTCTGATTGGACGAGGTGATGAGGCAAGGTGGCGACATCTCGCTCACCACCTCATTCAATCAGAGATTGATTTGCATTTTTGAGGAAATGCAAAGCATTCTCTTAATGGCGCACGTGCAGAGTGGCAAAACGCCTAAATTCAGAATGCAGCAGAGCAGCAGTAGTGGTGTTTACTACAGCGATTTCCAGCTTCTAGATAGATTCCAAAAGTATGGTATATGCATAGTTACACTGAGCCAAGCTGGATGTAAAAATATTCATAACTGGAATTCTTCTTTAAATTGGAACTTTAGGCTAAGGAATTCAAATTGTCGGACAGGCAGCATTTTTAAAGCAGAAGAGACATGCTTTGTTTCTTCTGCATTAAACCTACTTACCTTTCTGTCCACCCTTGTACAGTGAACAGCACATGGGCAACTCCTTGTACAAATTCGGAAAAGCCAAATCTGACGTCGTCCTTGCCCGGCCAATGACAGCAGCAAGCAATCAAGAACCAGAAGCCAGCCGCCCAAAGATGTCAGCAGCTGGGCTGGGAACTCAGGGATGCCACATTGCTGGAGCTCAGTTAAGTATTGTTCCACTTTTTAGGTTGGAAGGTACAGAAAAAAAACTACTACATACCTCAAGTTCAAACAACAGAGCTCAATAGCAGATTAAAGTTGAGAAAAATAAAAATGTGATGAGCAACTGCCTGATTAATTTGTGTTGGTTTCATTGCATTTGAGCTAAATGCACCATTTTATTAAAATCTCTACAGGCTTTGCCAAATTACAGGTCAGCTGCATGCTGCATTTGTGAAGATCAAGGAAATACTACTGTTTTAGTGCTTGATTGTAACCGCATGCTTTTGTAACTTGGCTCACTCATGTCTCATATGGACGTTTAATACAGAACTTCATAAAAACTCGGCTTTTATGCATGTGAAAAATGGGCTGCTCAGTGTATCCATCCAAGCTCAGTTTATGACCTAACCGCTAGTTTACACAGGTGGAAGCACCCAGCTGTTATTGGACAACAGTTCAAGACTTTGCTGGGGTGCTCAATGAACAGGTGAGTTATCTGGGGACACACAACCACCAACTCAAGCCAAGAATACAGAATAAAAAAGTCTAAAACACATAAAAAGCAATACAAAAAAAATCAGAAAGGGGATATATAAATGTAACCATTTAAAAACACAAGTTTCCATGGTCTTTTTACAGTTCTTTGTGCTATTATAATGTTTATGTCAGACCAGTAATTTTGTATTAGATATAATAATGCAACATAGTGAAATGTTGAAGGGAAGTAGAATGTTTGTATTTTTCACTTTTAGGTTTTATAGGCAAAACCTTTTTTTCCCCCATTTTGGATGGCATAAGGATGGGTTATAAACCCTGCCATTGTTTTGCCATCTGTGTCCAATTGGGAAGATTTACCTTCACTTCCTGTCCCTGTCCCATAGTCAAGAAGTGAGAGAAAATCCCTGAAAATTAAGGGAATCCATTGGGGCCCCCAGGTCACCAGAACCAGCGTCCCCCCAGGAAGATTTCCCCTCTATTACTGTTCTGGGGACAACTCAAAATTTGGGAGTTCCTTTTATTATTGACAAAGAGAACATGAATCTCTGTAACAGTGCAGCGGTAACAATAAAACCTAATCCATCTCCAATTTGCCAAAAACTAAAAATAAAAAAGTTTTGCCTTTACTTATACTTTAAGTACATTTTTAAGTGAGCCATCACATTGATTACTTTCCAATACTCTTGTCTGGAAATGGAAAAGATCTGGTAAGAAGGAGCTACAGTTTGTAAGAAGGGAAGAGAAAGTGATGCAAGACTTATGTAATCTGAGACATATGTATTATTTTTAGTATGTAAGAATAAAATGGATTCAATAGAACAGGACACATTTTTGCCAATGTGTCAGAAATGCCACTCAGCTTAAGGATACATCTAAGTTACAAGAGGAAACAAGAAAATTTGCTCTAACCTTGGAATGTCAGCACACAGTCATGAGCACAGTCGGGCACACAGTTTTCAGGCATAGGCGACCACAAGAAGGTATAATAATCTCGGGCAGTGCTCCATCCAACCTGGAAAAAAATATTAGGTGTAAAAATATACTTTTTTCTTTACAAGGACAAGTTTATTGAAAAACAAAGACCTGGCTTTGAGAAAGGCCTTATTCACACTTGAACTGAGCATCTTTGGTTTTGTATGTGTTTCAAGTTGAATTTATTTTTTTTTTTTTTCAGCTAATGGAAAGCTAGGTTATTTAGACAATAAAACATGCAAAAAAGGCAGGTTATGTGTGTTTTTCAGGCAGATGGGTAGATGGGTCGAAATTTAGATGATCCCTGTTGAATGGGCAGAATTTTGTTCCATCTATAGGAACCCCCCAAGAAAAAATTAAAAGTCAGCAGATACAAATACTGTAGCTACTGAATTTTAATATTAAGGTATGTACCTGTCTAGGCATCCAGCGGTGTCCTCACCCCGAGCTGATTTTTGAGTCAGCTGTTGGGTACTGGCTCCGCCATCTTGACTAAGGGAAACCGGCAGTGAAGCTTTATGGCTTCATAGCTGGTTTCCTATTGTGCTTTGTGAATGGGTCACAGTCCTCTGGGACCTGTTGACTTTCCCGGGGGGTGGGGGGGCTGGTTGTACATTATGTTCTGATCCAATGTCACTTTTTTTGCCATCAGTCTTCTAACTTTACCAAACCATCTTATAAAAGCAGTTTATTTAATTTAGATCAGAAATGGATAATATAACATACAAAAGGCCTTACAATGGGTCTCAATTGTAAAAATAATAATTTTATAGAGGCATCAGTTTGCTTAATACAACCTAAAGCAGCAATCGTAGATTGTAGGATAAGCCAACTCATGAGCACATGAGCAAAAAAAAAAAAAAAAAAAAAGACAGGAAATACTGCAATTTAGAGCCATTTCCAAACAGGGCAATTAAAAGAGAATATATAGTCTTTTCAACATTTTTAGATGAACATGTAAACAAGTTCAGCTAGTTGTAAATCCTATCCAGCCGCATAATGTTTTAAAGACCTTGTTTGTGTGTATAATTTGTAATTATATACATACATGGCAGCAGAAATGCAAGTCTACGAGTCAACCAACTCATTAAAAATAATAGACTCCCTATTCGGGGGGATACATTCTGCCTCTAATGTGCAAGCTACAATTCTCTACATTTAATAGAAATACATAATCTAGAAGAGTGAACATGTAAAATGTGATAGTGAAATCAAAAAATACTTTATAAAGTAAAACTGCAATAGTATCTCAAAACATATGCTGGCTGAAAATACACTACACTTTCCCTGTAAAGGCTTCCTGGGAAGAAATGAGTTTTGACCA